GATGATTTAACACCTTTCCCTCTGATGAGTTACTGCTAAAACCAGCACTTCAAATGTGTCTGGACCAAATGCGCTTGTGGTCTTGAATGTGCTGAACACCAGCAAGCTAAAAGTAGGTAGGCTACTCCTAAACAACCTGAAAGAAGTCACTGTAATAAGGAAAATAGATAAAAAAGGACTTAGAACATTAGGATCCCAGTTTTGCTGTCCTAAATTCTCTTCATAAACGTGATTTCCCCATAGCATAGCTAACAAGCCATCACTACTAAAGCAGCAAGTGGTTTAAGTTGCTTGACTCTCATGGCCATCATTCATTTCAGTTTGCAGTGGAATCCTCCTGGCAAGCTCAGAAACAAGGAGAAACTAAGAACTTCAAGTACTTAATCTCTGTTTTAATTGCTCATCCTCCCATTAAGTGTGCCTTTCTAACCGAACATATTTTGAGGAAGCTGCTAAATATCTCATCGATATTTAGATTCATTTGGAAATCTTTAGGGCTACTACTTCACAGCTGTTACACAGAAAAACTTTATCATATCAGCTGAATGACTTCCTAGTAATAATTTCCTAAGGTAAAAAAAAACAGAAAAGAAACCCCCTTTTTTCCCATGATATCTGGATGACAGTGTTATATAGTCTCTCCTTTGCATAAGAGATTAAATCACCATCAGTTTGGGATCTGTGCGAGTATGGAGCACTCCCTGTAGACAATGTGCAAATAAAGTTCTTGGACTTGCCAAATTTTTAACATGTAACAGAGAAATCTACTACATTAGATGCAACATGAGAATGAAATTAAGCCAGGCATCTAAGGCAGCACTACCACATTACTCCTCAGACAAAACAAACCTAAACTGTAAAAACAAAACTGTAGTCTTCATTATCTATAAACAGCTTGACTAAATAGCCCATTCTGGGGGGTTTCTGATCACAACCATAATCATATCTATGATTGCCTATTATTTTGCATAATTAATACGTATTCTTTCCTATGTTCACAAGCATATTTAAGGTTGCAGTCTTTACAATCTGTCCCCTACCAGGCACAAACACCACAGACTGCTCCGTAGAGCCACAGCTAAGGTAAATTGAAGGTTTCTCAGAGTCCTGCTTAGGAAAAGTAATGCTGGGAAAATGGTAAGTGGGCTTTTAATGGCTCCTACAACTGGTTCATGACTGACATTAAAAGACATCTGTTGTTTGGAAAATAACATGCCAGCACACAGAAGGCTTCCTGATACCAAAGATTACCATTGTCTGACTTGGCTTTAACATTTTCGACCACATTCCTCACCCAGATTTTAAATTTATAAAAAAACTATCCTTAACATTATAATTCAACAGAGAAAGTCCAAGACATGATATTTTAGTATCAAGTTGCTTTCCAATAAAATACTTGTGAAAACACCCTGGATTCTTAGTTTTGGCCACCTTATATTTTAAACAAATAAAGGGCATTTAGCACTGAAAATATGAGGTTACTACATGTCTAGGATAATCTCCTAATGTTCAAAGCATACCTCCAAAAGGTTTACATAACCTTTGATTTCTGGGGATCTCTTCCTCTCACACACAGAGAAGAATAACTACGCAATACACAGAAGATGATACAAACTCTACTTTTGGCATTTGTCTCCTCAGTAACTTTTCTGAACGACACCACAAAGTTAATGGCACTTCTTCCCAATCCTACTGAGGGGAACATCTGAAATTAGTCATTATCTTTTATGCCTCAAAAATGGCTGAAAAACGTTTAGGGAAGAAATAGGTGAGTTTATGTTGATTTCCAAGGCAGTAAATTGAGACAGTAAAAGATCAAGTAATTTGAATGAGTCACAAAAATTTGGCAAAGGAAGAAATTAGAACTTGATTTCCTGAGTTATGACCTGGAGCCTTTTGAACTTAAGCTACAAGCTTGATGATTTTACCATTTGTATACCAAAGTCAACATCCACAAAAGTACATGGAGTCAGCAACTTGAATTATGCCTGATAAGGCAGCTTCTACCAGAAGTATAGTCATTCTTTCCTAAGCTCTGATTGTACTGCAGCAGCATGTCAGGCTTCTGCTCTAAGCTCTCACAAGGCTTTGGCACACAAACAAATGGCTTCCAGAGTCTATCTGTGAATCCAGTGGTCCAGACAGGCACACGCTCATGACCCTTGCCCTGATGCTGCTTGAGGTGGAACATGAATCCAGCAGAGATGCCTATCGGCACACTGACATCCCCACACCCATCTGGGCAGAAGCCAGCCCAGACACTGTGGTCACACTGGCACTCATTGCCAAGGCAATTGCCAGGCTATGACACAATCCAGTCCTTTTGCCTAAGAGGAGGCATGTCAAGCATGAAGATGAAGAGCTGTGTTTAGCACACTTCTGTTCCCACACCATAAATAAAGGAAACTGAAATATTTGTCCAGAACTTCCTTGTGATCCACAGTGAGTTTGCCTAGCAGAAAAGGTGGCAGCTACTGAAAAGGCAGAGCAGCCTCTGTGGTACCCAGTGCCTGATGTCCTGGAACATGGATTGTACAGGCAATCTGAACACTCAGCACAGCTCACAGGAGCTTGTTACTGTAGTATTCCTTACACAGTGTCACATATCAACCCCTGCCTTCCCCTGCAGAGTCTGAGAGATATTTAAAACTATGCATTATGGCAGGAAGTTTGCCAAACCAGAGTGAAGGCCACATTTAATCCTCACTGAAGTCCTTGCAGGATCTAAAAAAAAAGTTACTATCAATTTTAGGATTCTATGTTTAAATTCTCACCCTAATTTCACTCAATACAAGGTTTCAGATTGAAGAGAAAAAAAGATTGAACACTTGCATCCAGATTTTCTTTTTAAACATATACATCTACTGATTCTTACAAATATATTTATCATATGTAACTGACAGGGAAATTATAAACAAGATAAAATGGAAGCAATAGCATGATGGGTTGAGCTGGAATAAGATGAATAAACAGATCCAGTAAAAAGGAAGTAGCACAGAGGTACCGTATCTTATAACAAAGGGATATATTTATTATCACACAGTATAGTAAAAAGAGAAATTGCATAGGAATGGAGAAACCCCATGGATAATGCTTCACATATTTCACAGCATTCCCCTTAAGGAGAACAAGAACAGATGAAGATATTTTTCTCATTTACACCAAGATATTATCAACAACTCTGACTGGAAAGATTCTGAGAAAGAAGAAGGAAAACGACAAAACTTGCAAAGTTTTTCCTTGTAGAGAAAAGCTTGGTTTTTCTTTAGTCCATCTAAAAACATGTGACAGCATCGCATACTAAAGACACTGACCATGGACCTACACCTTACCTGGACAACTACATGCTGGAAACTCTTGCACTATTAAATTAATTTTAAAGTTCTGTTCCTGAAATTACTGTATGGAGCAAGGGGCATTCCCCAAAAACCAAACCAGCTTATCCTGCCCCAAATCTTTGGTTGAACCTAATAAAATTTCCAAGTTAACTTTCGTGCTCTTCTTGATTGCCATGGGTTTGGAAGGCAGTGCCTCACACAGCTAATGGGATCTTTGCAGTGAGATGTGCAGATACATGTCCCAAAAGCTGTGCCAATCAAAGATTTTCACAATACACTGAGACAGTAATTCCATAGCTGTGGTGACCTAAGAGAGGTCAGGCTCGTAGGGACAGGTAGTCTTGTTAGGCAAATCCCTGGGCACACAGTCAGGGACTCAGTGAGAGGTCACCTTTGTGAACTCACGCAGCCGGAAAAAACACCAGAATAAGATGGCTGAGCATGCAAAAATTTCTTGCCTAACATGAAATTAATAATGGGGCCACATGTGAGCTCTGCCCTGTATGTAAAAAGGAGTATTCACATCACATCAGCACTACAATAAAACTACAGACCCTATATGTAGATGTCCTTTGCATACAAAGACACACATCGAAGGTAGCTTCTATCTGATGAAGCTTTTGTGTACAAAACCTGAAACTGCTTCAGAAGCCCACAGCTCAGAAATGATACTTACTTACCAATTAACTTCTCATGGCACAAATGCTGCTTCCTTGCTGCTCACATATGTCTTCAGTGCATTACATGGCAGATAGCTCCAAGCTACTTCTGGAAATTCACGCATTTTTGAAGAGAAATGTATACATATATTGCACGACTGTTCTCTGAAATATCAATATATGCCCTTTTTATGTCAGTCTGAACACAACCACTACTAAAACCACATTTGGGAAACCCTTTGCCAATAAACCCACTGTTTTAAAAGCTATCAGCTCACACAGTCAGATCAGTGGACAGTCAACACTTCTGTTCACCCAGCTGCATTATAGTGGAATAGAAATTAGGGGCATGTGTCACATCTCCCCTTCCAAAAGGAAGTCAGCAGCATTATAGAAAGTAAAGAAAATAATTTAACAGCCATTACACAGAACACTCCAAGAAAGGGCAAGAAAAAAACCTCAAAACACTAATACAAGTATGATTGGGAAATACACTTATTCAACTACAATCCCATGGCACAGGTGCCAGCGGGATACTGCAAATTCCACCACACAGATTAAATTCAACTCAGACTAACATGAAACAAAAAAAAATTAATTGATTGACTTGCAAAGAGACACAACCAAAGACAGCACCAGTGATTACTTCACCTTACTGGCATAAAAGGACTTAAATAAATAGTTTTTATTTAGCCTTTAACCTGGTCAGAATCAGCAAGTATATCAAGTGTTAGCTAGAACAAATAATTGCACCTTACAAAGGAAGCTATTTTTGCTGGCATCTTTGGTTCTTTGGTGGTTGCGATTTGTTTGTTTTGGGGTTTTTTGTTTAATTGGTGGTGGATTTTTTGTGGTGTGTTTTTTTTTGGTTGGGTTAATTGTTTTTATTTTCCTTTTTTTGGTGGTGATTGGGTTTGTTGGTTTGTGGTTGTCTGGTTTTTTTTTATTTCTGTTTTTAATATTTGGGTTTGTTTTTTTTTATTTTTTTTTTGGTTTGGAGTTGTTGTGTGTGTGTGGTATACCAAGAGCATAATACCAGCACAATACCATCAGAGATCCTTGGTTTTCAGGGCTTACCTGCACTGCTCCAGGCCCCAGATGTTCTCAAACTTGACCAGGTAAATATAACCTGCCTACAACAGGAAGTTCCAGGCATGAACTGTAGCTTCCCATCTCATACAATTGATATCTAAATCAATTCATTTTCTCACACATAATTTGATATTGCATCACTACATGACCCTTTCCTTAATGCAAATTGAATCCCATCATATCTCCCAACTATCAGCATCCATTTCTTTTTAGCCATGTCACTATTTACAAACGCTTCATCTACCAGGATGTTGCAATTTTGGAATAGGAGCTGGTAACTTGTATTTTGGCAAGGTTCACATGCTTAAATTTCACTTACCTCAGCGACGTTCTAGGCATGAAGTATTTCCACAATTTGCCCCCTGTCCTCCTTGTTTCAGTCTGTAGATTTTCTCCTTCTGTGTTTCCTTTGGGCATGTACTGTCACAATACGGAATAAAATGGGATGCAATTTATGTTACTAATGCCATGCATTTAGTGGTGGTACTGCTATGCACTGAGGACAAAAAATACGTGTTTCACCTTCATTTTCAGTCTATAGTCAAAACAGTTGTTCCCTCTTGCTCATTAAGTGTAGCTTTGAAGCTAAGCTGTCTGTTTGAAAACCATCACTGCTCTGTTGTAACTAAGAACTTCATATTGAAGCATAACAGTGATGCACAGCCTTTCTTTCATTTCTGATGGTTGACTTTACCACAAACCTCATATCAGTTGGTTGAAAAACTGAATGAAGTTAGGCTGAAAATATTTCTAGAATCAAAAAAATTAAAGGCATTATTTCCATCTGGGTAGTTATGTGTCATTTTCATGGACCAAAAACCACAAGATTTCAAATCTTTCTATTTAAAGATGCTCAAACTCAGATTTTGCTGTCCAAATGCTCAAACAAGCAGGTTGTATCACCCCACAGGACAAGTCTCTTATGATGGATCTGTCAAGATGCCACCCTTACATATTTGCATATTTACTGGGCATCAGTAAATAGTTTTTCCTTGATATTTAAAAATAAATTCAAAGATGCCTCTGCTGCTGTGTAATATTGGGACACTAAAAAGAGCAGGTAGTGTTAACCTGGAAGGGAGAGAGAAATTTTCCAAGAGAGATTTTCCCATTATTAGTCACACAAAGTGTTTGATCCAGGCAAGGCAGCAAGGTGTGACACCATCTGCCCATCACTGTGGTTGTCAATTCTAATGAAATTTAGTTGTTCATGAATGTTACTTCTGTTTTCTAGAATGAAATATTACTCATTTTACAGTGCTGCATGTATTTGTGTTTTGTTCAGTGACCAGAGCAAGTAAGTTATTGGCACAATGATGTCCATCCTGTTAAACCCAGGCTATCATATGGACCCAACATGGCAACTACTGCCAGCCCTGTCAGCAGCATGTGCAAGTCACTTCACTAATTTTTGGTGACTTGTCCTGACTTCTCAATTGACTCTTCACACATCAGCACTGTTGTAGTCAGCTGCTTTTGATTCACTGACTTCACATTCGTATTCTCCACGATTTATCATTGCTTCAGTTCCTTAATCTCTGGCTCCCAGTCACTTCCTTTCTGTATCCCATGGTGTTTGCTTGTTCTGCAATAGGTGGCAGAAGCTCTCTCTGTCTCTCTGAAGCTTCCTTGTTTCACATCCTGCTGAAGGGTGCACTCATTGCTCCTTGAATGCCACCCTTCTTGCTGCAGAGAGGGCAATATCCTTGTATCTTACTATTTGGCTGTATCCAAAATATGCATAAAGCCCTTGGGAAAAAACCCTGAGCAGTTGGCAGAAGAGCAGCTCTCCTCCATCTACCCCTCCTGCAGACTCATCTCTGCTTCTAGAACAAACCACGGTGCAGTACCACCTCTCGCTCTAATAAAGCAATCATCTTTTATACTTAGCATTGATTCCTTCTTGGAGATCAAGCCATTTGACTTAAGCTCCTGTCAAAAAAAAATTTTTTTAAAGGCACCATAGAGGTGGGGGAGATGCAGCCAAATTTTTCTAAATGTGAGCTAGACTGGAAGGGAAACTGGAGAAATTCTCTTGAGCCTTATTTTTAGCAAAGACAAAACAAGAGACAGATTTACCCCAGAAAGAAGCAACAAAACCTATTCCTTAATGAGCTTGTACCACTAGATGGTGCTTTCAAGAGAATTAAACAAGTCAAGTCAAAGCAGCAGGCAAGGTCAACACACCAGAACAGAGAGAAAAAAGCACAACAAATCAAACTAAAAACATAGCTTTATGTTATTAAACTTGCATTCTAGGCTAGGCTGTGGTTCTCTGGCAGAGAAAGGGAGCCTTAACACACCCTGTCATCACAACAGGGACATGACGAGCAATGACGTGGTAATAAATATTCCGAGCTCTCAACTGCTTCCAGCAAAGGATACCAGGGCATGGAGAGAAGAAAATAGACTCGAGCACCCTCTGGGCAAGCAGATGTCATTTTCAGAAAAAAGATGAATTACACTCAAAGTGACCTGAAGCCATCTCACTTACCACCTGTCACAGTCCCTCCAAGCATAAGACTGGATCACTGGGCTCAGTGGTCTGGGAAAAAAAGGAAAAAAGTTGGTATTTGTCCTTATGAACAGGCATGAATTGAGAACTCTTCTGGTTATTTCCACCATTCAGTGGAAGCTAGTTAAACAAACCATAAGAAAAGCTTGGCAACTGCCTTGTTAATCATGTTTTAAAAAACATGTAACATTGCTGTACAGATATGCAACTCAGCCAGCTGGAAGCTTCAAGATGTTTTGATTTGCCTCATGCTCTAGTCAGGTAATGAATAGAACATGGCACAGAACAAATATATACATTTTAATTTCAGTCTTTGCACTGTTTTATTGTTTGTTTAAGCCAGCCCAACTAAGACTGCTTGCACTATACGCCCCTGGTTGCATTCCATTGTGAACAAAGGCATATTTGAGGGAAGTACCTCTCACAAAGAGGTATTGATGAACCAGAAATCAGAGTCTGGACAAATGACCATTTTTCTATAAACACAGCTCTATTGTTTCAGCTATTCTTCTCCAAGGGAATAAATATTTCATTATTCAAAGCAGCGGCTGAAAAAGCAGAACAACTCCTCCCCCTTCAACCAATAATCTTGCCCTCTCCACTCTAGAAAAATCAAACTCTATGGTATCCATGATGCCTCTCTTGCAATATCTGTATTAATTTTTTCACTCTTAACTTGTCCACAAACACATTACTGTGATATTAAAAAGACAAAGCCTGAGGCAATTAAGATGTAATGTCTGCAATCCCCTGCCCACCACACAGTAATTCCAACTTGCTCTTTGCATCTGCACCACCTGTACTTAACTCCTGGTTTTGATACTACCAATGCCTTGATTTTCATTAATACTATCTTTTTTTTTTTTTGGCTTTACTCCATCTGTCAAGCTGCCTCCTCTGCAATGAGTTCCTTCCCAAGTGTGTTCTCAGCCATTTCACAGATACAAAATCAAAGAAAGGAACCAATTCTGTCTTCCCTCCAGCCCTAGCAGATCCAATAAAAATAAAGAACACTTTCTGGGAATCACCGTTTCTGATCTACACAAACCCCACAGCAGCAGCGTTGCAAAACAAGCAAAGATTTCAGTAGGTGTGGAGGGATATCTTCATACTCTCACTCAAAATCCACACTCTGGCAAGATTGAAGGAATGCAGGTGACTAGATTCTCTGGTGTCCTGTATCTCAAGAGAGAGCTGACGGGAGAACTCATTACTGTCTTCAGCTGAACAATGGGACTGGGTCAAGGAACATCAAGGCTTTTTGGGAAATGCTCAGTGATAGCATCAAAGGCAGTGGACACAAAGGCCAACAAGAGCTGCCTAGATACTTGAAAAAACCAACATTGTTGTCAAACACTGACTAAGGTTGCCCAGATAGGCTGTGGAACCCTGATACTCAAGTGTTCCAGACTGAAGTAGCCAGGCCCTAAGCACCCAAAGCTAATATGATCAATTCCTGGCTGGAGTGGGATTAGAACTCCGGACATAGCTTCTAACCTGGATTACTTTAGGATTCCCATGCTCATGGATGCCTGTATCTGGAGTAACTGTAGCCAGTAGCCATCTCCAAAGCTGTTCCAAAACTTCAACAAGGGCAACGTGAAGCAGCAGACTTCTACAGAAGGAAGATGGATTAAGGCTCCCAAATACTCAAATTTACACATGACAGCTCCATAATGGATTTTAGTACATTGCTCCATTCACAGCACACTAAATCAAAAACCTAAGTCTCAGTTAATAATCACATATAGAAAAATGTATAAACCCCCGCCTCAACCACAGCAAAAAGAAAAATCACATTAACTACAAACTGAACAAGCTTTACCGTGCCTTATCAATAAAAGAACCAATCTTCAAAACTTCTGGTAAAACAACAGCATAAGAGGAAAGGTTAATCATGAAATGGCAGATTTTTACTTTTCCTAAAAATACACTTTGATAAGCTGCAGCTCAGTCACTACAGCTAGAGTAATCAGATAATGGGACAAAGGGAAGTGTAACAGTTCACTCCAAAGATTTTCATGCCCTTGCATATGTTTAACACACTCTTGATATGAAATAAGATCCAGGTTCCCTTAGCAAATCATCCAATGCATTATTCAATGTTCCTAGGAGGGCTTTAACATGATGTACCCAGCTAGAGACAATAGCTTCAATTACATCACTGAGGGTTGAGTAAAGGATGAGGTCCTGCTAAGGAAGATCACTGATATGAGGAGACAAACACAGGAAGAACATCATTATGTGATGATATCAGCCCTGGGCTGCAGAGAGATGGAAGAGTTCTGTACTGGGAAACAGCATCTGCTCTGCCCCATGTCACAAGTTGGGACCAACACATGTGTCTGCAATTAGGTTATTCCGAGCCAATTTTGGTGTACCGTGTGCATTAAAAGCACAGATGGGGTTGCATAGATACCCACAGATAAAAGACACAAGCTAGTTAGCTCCATCTCCACACAACTATTTGAGAATGTACTAATGAAAAACAAAGCAAAGAAAATCAACAGAGAATTAATTCAAGGCAAATTTCCCCTCCAAGAAGAGAAGATTCCTAGAAAATAAAACCAGACAAAATGCTTATTTGAATAGGAGAGAACATATTTTCAATAATACAAAATATTCGTTTCTTTTTTGGCAACTATTTAAAACCAACTTCCTAGAGTTTGTATAAACCATGTTGCCAATATTCTGTACAAACTTGCTACTTACTTAAAGATATTTCCCTTGTTCTATTTAATACTGTGACGGAAAAGCAGCCTTTAATACTACATTTTTCAGAATTACATCAAAATTGTTAAATGCACAAAAAGTTCAAAAGTGAGTACATAAGGAACTCATGAAGACCTTGAAAAATATACATATAATGACTCATTTGAGACCTTTGACTTGAAAGAAACAAATATGTCATCAGGGGTATGACATGGCACAGCAATAGACTTCTAATAGCTACATATATAATTAACAATTTCTTTTTAGCTTATCGGAGTTCTAATTTGTTGCGGCTATTATTTCCCTAGTTTTGGGAGGAATGGAAATAGGTTTTAGACATTCTTAGAAGTGTCTTTTCCATCCTTCTCTTGGTATTTAGTTCATCTTCTAAATAAAAGGGAAGAAGAAACGCTACACTGGGAACTAAATTACCAAGAGCAGTTTGGAGAGAAAATGACTTTCAATTTGTTCTCTCTTCCAAAGCCGATCGCCTGCCCTAAATGATTCATTCTGCACTTCAGGCCTCCAAGCTTTCTGCTTGCCTTAAGCACAAGGACAGCATGAAATAATTGAAACCAACAACAAGGAAAAACGTGACATTGTAGGAAATGGTACTGGACACACTCTTTAAAAACAGATAAACCAGCAAGAAATGGTAAGGCCGCAAAAGGGACAATGTAAAATGACCCAGCAGGTATTCTAAAAGGTGCAGCTATAAAAGAAAGACAACTTCAGCTGCAAAAGGCTGTGGTCTCTTAAACAGACTTTGATGGTGGAATTGCACAGTAGGGATACATTTCTTAGCTCTGCGCAGAAGGGACACCTAAGTAAAAAAGGGTTCTTCAGCATTCAGAAAACAGCTTGACAGAAGGCTTTTATTACTAGGGCTATTTAAAAGCACAGAAGAGGAAAAATAGTTGGTCAAGCAGACAGGAATACATCAAGATGAAAGTCTCCTACTGTAAAGATTGAAGAGAAAAACAGAACAAGTTCCTGGGAAGCCTGCTTCTTCAACTGAAGAGCAAAGAGTTCCTCTGATATTTGAAGCAGTTATTTCAACATGGGAGTCTCATCATAATGCTTGCAAAATAAAACACAGACACACAAGTGAGGAACTTGCTTGGAAGATGTGGCATGAGGATGTGGTGGCGGCTACCCAAACATTGGGAAACAACTTCTTGGCGTGTGGTAGGTACATAGAGTGACTTTGGCAAGCTTCCCCATCACCCCCAACAACAGAGCTACAAAAAGGTGAACCAGCACTGCTGGTGAGGGCCCACAGCTGCACCATAAGTTCAGTATCAGAAGTTCCTGGCTTCCCAAAGCACTGCAGAGCTGAGATATGCTTGTGGCAACTGGAATGCCATATTCTATCCCCTCTCTGGACTCACATCAGTGGCCATACTTGATTCCCATAGCACATTGGATTCACCAGACTTGGGTTGTTTTGCTTCTTATCTGTTGCTGGAAGTCATTGTCCCCAACCCCTCCCAAGTTTTGTATTAAAGTGTATGTCTATCAGTCATCTGGCACCGGAGCTTAAACTCAGGATCTCTGCCCCATTCCCAAACATCCCAAAAAGAAGGCTGGAGAGCCCTGTTCTGGCTCTTAATCTCTCACTTCTCATCAACACCTGATCAGCAATTTAGGATTGAAAGGGACCTTCTGGGCTGGGACTATTAACTCATATAGAACCCAGTCCTACAATGGCTTTTACAGACCCATCAAATTCATCTTAAAATCAGAGCAGCTTTCTGACAAAGGAACTGGTACAATGGGTTAGAGTTGTAATTAATTTACCAAGTAGAGCTTAGCACTACCTGAGGAGACAGAACACATCAAATGAAGGAATGACAAGATGTCTTTTTGTGTTTAACAAATACTGTTAAACACTTAACAGTAATACTATTTAACAAATATTTTCAGACTGTTGCTTAGTGTCATCTTCAACTAAAAAGACTCCAAAATGCCAGGCCCAGTAGGGCTTGACAACAGGAAGAGGAAAAAGAAAATAGAAGGAAAAAGAGAAAAGGGGACAATTGCATGAGACACAAAGGAAATGCAGAACTTCATTTAAAGAGTTTAATAACTCATCTTTTGTCAAGCTTTTACCATGCTACAGCCAAGGCTATGAAAACTGCCTTATAGTAATTTATGAAACAGAAAACCAAACATGCCCACACCATACCACACCCCTATCACCTGTGTCAGTGTGGAGTTACCAAGCAGATCTCAGTTCATTTACCTATTTCCCTGAAGCCCTTTTGAGGTGCTGCCCTCTCACTCTGTTCCTTACTGCCCAGAGGGGCTAAGGAGAA